GTTCTCTCTTTATTGATGCAGATAAAAATCCTCAATTGTAACTCTGCTATTTGTACTTGGCTTACTCAAGCAAAGAAGAAAATTGGACAAAGGTGGAAGTTTCTTAAGCAGTAGAAATAATAGAAGTATGAATTGTTTGAGTAGTTTACAAACTGATTTCAGCCTTCAGAGATTGCAGCATGTGCTCTGCAGGATATATTTTCTGGATTTTGTGTGATTTTTAGGTTCATATTACTCATGGCATGTTTGCCTTCTGTTGCCAACCGCTTGCCAAGCTCCCTTGTTTAAGGCATGCTTTTATTTTGCACCATACTGCTTTTGTTATACTTGGCTTGAGAGTGGGTGGAACAGTCAACAGCACCTAGATGGTTCCCTCCTTTCGTTCTTTGAGTCACACATTTAAAGAGCACTTGAACATTTACATAGCAAACTGCCAAGAAGGGAGAATAAAACAGCTCTATAGTGCAGTTCTATACATTTATACTAAGATACAAATCATACAATATTCAGCAGAGGTTTCTACTGTTGCTGCTGCATCTTATAGAATAGGTTGGGTATCTAGCTCATAGAAGCAGGGACAAAGTAGTTTTCTAATGGAATGCACCTATTTTATTAATTTGCTGGACTCACACACTGCCTTTCCTAATGGAGCTCAGCTTACATGAAAATCTCTTTTCCTTTTATTGCCACAATAATAATCCTATGTGAGAGAGCAGTTGGCCCCAAATCACCCAGTAAGATCCAATGGTTGAGAGTGGACTTGAACCCTAGTCTTCCTATTCCTAGTTTACTACTTTGATTACTATGCCTTGCTTACACTTGTGCAGTACGTGATTCAGTATATATATATATATTTTTGGTCAATCCTATTCATCAGGAGCTTTATCAGATGGCCTTGGTTTTGTCCCTCTCTTCCAAAGATACTCAGAGGAAAAAAAAATGACAAGATTCTGTTGAATAGAGGTTATGTTGAGTAATAATGGGGGGTGGTAGACCAGAATATTTAATAAGGCAGAGCTGGGTTACACAATGACCCTTTTGGATTTCTCAAGTTCTGGCTGCAATAACACTTCATTGTAATTTAGTGTAACATAATTTGTTCTGATTAAGAATGTCTTTAAATTCATCAGGTTTAGCATCACATATTCTGTAATTAATGCAGTAGGAAACTCAAGTATTTCTGTCAAACATATACACTATGATTGCACATACATTTTGAAATAGCTTGTATACAACCATTGATGCAGTGTTCCAAGCTGTGAATTGCAAGTGTCTCTGAGACACCCACAGGGTTAGCATGGTAGCTGAGGTATTTTTTTTTATTTGTCAATTGCTTACAAGATAATAGGTATAAGTAGAAACATAGTTATAAATACATGGATACATATAAGAAAAAAAATCAAAATAAAAGAAACAATAGGACAGGGACAGTAGGCACATTAGTGCGCTTATGTACGCCCCCTACAGACCTCTTAGGAAAGGGATGAGGTCAGAAGTATGTCTAAGTCTAAGTCTAAGGTTAAAGTTTTTGGGGTTTGGGGAAAAAAACCACAGTCAGGTAGGTAGAGTATTCCAGACATTGACCACTCTATTGCTGAAGTCGTATTTCCTGCAATCAAGCTTGGTGCGATCAACCTTGAGTTTGTATCTATTGTTTGCTCTAGTGTTGTTATGGTTGAAGCTGAAGTATTCATTGACAGGTAGGATATTGCAATGTATGATTTTATATGCTATACTTAGATCGGACTGAAGGTGGCGTAGTTCTAGGTTTTCTAGGTCTAGAATTTCGAGTCTGGTGGCATAAGGTATTCCGCAACGAGTAGAGGAGTGGAGAACTCTTCTTGTGAAATATTTCTGGACTTTCTCTGTGTTAATATCAGATACGTAATGTGGGTTCCAAACTGATGAGCTGTATTCGAGTATTGGTCTAGCAAATGTTTTGTATGCTCTAGTTATTAGTGTAATATTACCAGAGAAAAAGCTACGTAAGATTAAGTTAACAATTCTTAATGCCTTTTTGGCTATGTAGTTACAGTGGGCTCTAGCACTTAGGTCATTTGAGATGAGTACTTCAAGATCCTTGACAGAGTTTGGATCATCAACAAGGTCTTGACTATTCAGCCTGTATTTTATTTTCTGATTTTTTTTTGCCAATATGTAGGACAGAGCATTTATTTGTTGAGATTTGAAGTTGCCATTTGTTTGACCATTCTGATACATAGTCAAGGTCTTTTTGAAGGGTAGCAGTATTGTCTGTGGTGTTGAATAGCTTTACATCATCAGCGAAGAGAACGCAGTTGCTCTTGATATGATCACAGAGGTAATTTATGTAGAGTATGAAAAGAGTTGGTCCTAGAACACTGCCTTGGGGGACACCACTGTTGACAGGTACAGAATTTGATAGGACGCTTCCAATTTTGACCATTTGTTGTTTGTTTGACAGGAATGCTTCTATCCAGTAATGCAGGTGTCCAGAGATACCGTAAGATTTTAGTTTTAGGAGTAGTTTGCCATGTACCACTGAATCAAAGGCTTTACAGAAGTCTATGTAGATTGCATCTATTGTTTTGCCCTGATCAAGTTGTGTAGTCCATATGTTTTTGCAGTGTAAGAGTTGCAGATTACATGATAGTTTTTTCCTAAAACCAAATTGTTTATTAGAGAGTAGGTTGTTTGTTTCTAAGTGGAGGATGATGGATTGGTTAATAATTGATTCCGTGACTTTACAGGTGACGCAGCATAAAGAGATTGGTCTGTAATTTTCAACTAGGCTGGGGTCTCCCTTTTTGAAGATGGAGATGACTGTGGCTTGTGACCATAGTTTTGGCAAGGAGCTGGTCCTGAAAGATTTTTCAAAGATTATGCTTAGAGGTTCGACTATGAGAGTGGGTAGCTTTTTTAAGAAGTAGGCACATATTCCATCAGGTCCAATAGATAGAGATGGTTTTAGATTGCGCAGTGCTTTTTCAACAATGTCTTCTGTAAAATCAATATGTATTAGATCGTTGTAGTTGTCTGTGGTTCGACTAGGAAATACTGAGCATGATCCATTGTTGTTTACAAATACTTAGCCAAAGAATGTGTTAAAGAGGTTGGCTTTAATAGTTAATAGGTGTTGTTAGGCCTTCTGGGTAAACCAGACAGGAAACACAACTAGGTGAACTAAATCTACTTTATTATAAGGCTACACATTAACAGAATCTTGCAAATCTGAAGGTACAAATTTCTTGCTGCCACTTTTAGGTGTCCGATCAATTAGGACGATCCTTCCAAAGTTTCTTCCTCTGACTATTAACCAACTGCCTGCAAGGAACAAGGGAACATGCCTACCGTCCCTGTCCTATTGTTTCTTTTTTTTGTTATTCGTATCCATTTCATGTATTTATAACAATGTTTATACTTATACCTGTTATCTAATAATTGTTTGACAAAATAAATAAATAAATACCTACCTACCTACATACATACATACATACTCTTGTCTGATTGTTCCCTAGCCATTTCCTTCATTCCCCCAGTGTCATCTACCACATTCCATTACAGATATTTCCACCTCGGTTTGTAATGTGTTTGGGTCTGTGGAAATCTTTTCTTTTAGTAAGACAGAATAAAGGACTGAAACTTAAGGTCTGCATGAAACCATCTGTGCCTTTAGATACATCCACTGGTGCTTTGTGACCTCTCTGATCCTCAGAAAATTTTAACCTGGGGTTAAAATTCTCTACTATTGCTTTTTGTAAGAGACATATTATCACCAGCTTTATAAACTAGTAGCATTTTTGCAAATTGCCTTGGACAACAGATGGTTGAGAATCTCTGAGCATCTGACAGTACTGGGTAAAGGATATTGTCAGCAGGCAAAGTGAGCTACATAATCACTATAACCTGGAGCTGGTCCAGTTGGCATGAAGCACTGGTTGGGCTTCTGCTTTGTTCAATATGGATGAAAAACATACTTTAAGGAGTACTCCCTTAACGATCTGGTAAAAGTTACATTATGTCATTGAAGCAAGGGATAGGGTTATTAAAATAAAAATGAACTTGGGTTTTGCCAAGTTCTGACTGATTATTACAGGAGAGGCTATTTCTACATTGCTTGAGACTTTCTTGACTGCCTGATTTCTTACTGTGAGACCACAAACTTTACTTCCCCCTTTCTTCTACAGAAGGATTAGAAGCTGTAAGCATGTGTGACTATTGACAAAAATTGTTATTTGGACATTTGGACAATACAGACATGTAGGAACAAAGATATGGGTATACAGTTCTGCATCTTCTGGTTTTATTGCTCTTAAAGAAAAATTGATATTTTAGGTACCAATACTTAGCACCCAGCCATGTAACTAACTGCAAGCCTCTGAACTAATTTGACAGATTTATAGCAGTCTTTCCTAACCTCCTCCTTTCCAGCATAAGCAGTGGCTGGGAACCAGGGGTGGGATTCAAATTTCTTAACTGGTTCTCTGTGTGTGGCCTAATTTGTGGGTGTGGTTTAGTGGTCATGTGACTGGCTGGGCATGGCTTGTATGTAAATATTGTAAATATTTATGTAAATGTTGAATTTTTTTATTAAAAAAGAGCAACTTTTACCCAAAATCAGGCAAAGCAAGCAGGCAGATTGAGTTGCTCACAGAATCACAGATTCACTCAGAGATCTATCTTTCTGCAATCTATTGCCTGAGTCTGTCACATAAAATTTGCTTGCAAGCAAGCTCATAAAATTAACTCACAGCACACCATGTATGTAAATATTGCAAGGTACAAGGCAGGCAAGTTGGATGGCACGCATGCCAGGTAAGGAGTGAGTGGGTGGAGAGGGGCGGTGCCAGCCAACCGAGCAATTTGCCGGTTCTCCGAACTGCGCAGAATTGTAACAACCGGTTCTATAGAACTGGTCCAACCAGGTAGAATCCCACCCCTGCTGGGAACCATGGGAACCAAAATAGGGGAACTTCTTTAGAGCATGGTAGGGATTTATTGTGTTTCACTCTCTCTTTCAGCGGACCCCTTTGAAACGATGTTAAAGTCCTTGTTGCAGTATCAGTCAGGCCTGGGTGGAGACATGGCTGAGAGCTGCGTGAGGAAAAAACTGTATGAAAATGGTGTCACCAAGCTGCTGCCGAGTAATTTTCCTGTAATCCAGAAGGTGAATAGCTTTATCTGAGGGCAGAGTTTTGCTCAGGTGTATGGGAAGGCTTGTTTCCTGGGGAAACAAATAAATGATTCAGAATAATCTCTTTAAAAGGCCGCGTGGAGCAGAATCAGATGTTTTAAGGTTTTTGAAAGTTGCTTATCTTGTGTAAGCATTCAGCATTCTCAGAAGTGACTCCTCAGTATTAAATCTTGTCTGGTGTATTTCCATTTTCTATTTTTCCTGGGTTTTCAGGACAAGTTAAATTAAAACACGAATGAACATGCCTACTACTGTTTTACACCCCACCCCCTCACTCTGCCACATAGTGGAGTTTAGCAGAGCTTATATTTTCCAAACTAAAAACAATTGGCTTTTTATCTTTATTTTTATGTCATATCGATTATGTTGTAATTTCTTTGTTGTGAGTCATCCAGAGATGCTGAAAGTCAGTCGGCACATACATTTTATATTATGGTTGGTCACACAATCAAACAGGTGTTTAGACTGAATTTAGCGTTTTTATTCACCTATGAAATCCTTCCCAAGGACCTGGGATATTTGATGGTGTTAAAGGTGTCATTGGGATGTAAACTTTTCCAAGTAAAGCTGCCTTTTGCAAATAACTGATGGTGATTTTCTCAATGCCAATGGTATTCAAGTAATGCTTGAGATGTTTTGGGATTGCACCCAAGGCACTACTATTAATATTAAACATGTTTTAAACATGATTAGGATTGCACAGACAATTGCCTCATTTACGCCCCCCCCTCTGCCACATAGTGGAGTTTAGCAGAGTTTATATTTTCCAAACCAATAACAAGCCCATAGTGAGAAGTGGTACTTTGAAAACCTACACAGTCTGTCACTTAAAATTTAATTCTTGAAAATAAATAGTACATCCAGACATGTGCCAGTTGGGTTTCATATCAGGGCATGGTACAGAGCAGTGCAGGTTACTCTTGTCATGATCCTTGGCAGAGCAGAAATGGAGATATGTATTGATCTCTCAGTGGCTTCTTTCTGGACTGACTATGGGGGTTAGGAGTGGATGTCACTGCTGCAGTTATTCATCTTCTTCCTCAGTGGTTGCACCCACAGCCTCTCATTGGTAAGGTACCATAGGGCTTGATACTCTCCCGTCCTAATATTTACATGAAACACTTGGGTGAGGTCATCCATCAGTTTAGTGGTCAGTGTCATCACTCTATTGAGGTTACTCAGCTTTATATCTCAAGGCTGGGCCAGTGTCTGGAGACTGTTTGGGTCTAGAGGCATAGAAAAGATTTAAGCTCAATCCTGACAAAATTGAGTGGGGTTGCTGTCTGGCCCTTTGGGATATGGAACATTTTCATCATTGGCCTTATGATGAAAGCACTTCCCCATTCTAAAGGAGGGCACAACTTGAGGGGGGGAGTCCTTCTGGACTTGGAGCTATTGCTCAAAGAGCATGTGGCAGCTGTGGCCAGGAGACTCCTTGCACACTTCATCTCCCAGTTGCATCTTTTCTTGACCTAGGGCTGTTTAGACAGTTACTCATACACCGGTCATGTTATGATTGGATTATTGCAATGCAGTCTACATAGGACTACTCTTGAAGACTACCTGGAAACTACATCTAGTACAAAATGCAGCAATGTGAATAATAATTGCTGAATCCCAATATGCCTATGTCACCATTGCTACTTGAGCTGCATTATTGGCAAGTCCAGGTGTAAGTCAGGGTGCTGGTTGTTATGTATAAAGTTGTTTATAGTACTGGTTCTGGATGCCTGAGGGTCCATTCATCTCTTTTTCTGTCTGGCTGATACATTCTGTTAAAGTGGATATGCACCATGTTTCTTACATCTTATAATGTTATGGGACTGAGGAAGCATGTCTTCTTTGTCATAGAGCCCATCTTTGAGAACACCCCCCCCTCCGATACACTTAAAATGCCTTCTGATTTGAATTGTTACTGTTAGATTGTTTTAGTCCAATTTGCCCGCAAGGTTATATTTTTTTTACCTGCTTTTATTGTTCTGTATTGTATTTGTAAACCATCAAGAGTCTATGGAAGTGGGTGGCAATAATATATTTAAATAAAAATAACAATCTATTACTTGTCGATACCTAGTCCCAATCAAGTCAGTTTTATTCTTGGCATGTGAGTCACCACGTTTATTTTTATAAGTTGTGGTATCACAAAGATTCAGAACCTTTGCAGTTGGCATTTCTGTTTAGTTTTCTTGGAGGAAACATCTCCATGCCCCTCATCTTTTTGATCATACAGATCAAATGTCCAGCTATGTCCAGTAAAATTACTAGAGGTCTGTAATTGCACAGATACTCTCTGCATGCCTTAAGAATCATTGCACCTTTCCCAAAGCACTACTAGATGGGAGACATTATAACAGTAGCTCAATGCTAAATGGGCATTATGAGTAAAGATGGATTTCATCAGAATAGTTGAAAAGGCATTGACCTGCTTTTCTGTTCAACAGGCCATGTAATAATATTTAATTTGTGTTTTTTGGTTTCATGGGAATGTGTAGGGATAAAGAGATTGACACATTTATTTCTTTTGTTTAAGCTGTCAGAAGAATTGTTAACAAAATGGCTAACTTTCCCCGAGTCTCAACATGTGCCCCTCAGTCAGCATATGTTAGGCTTTGCAATGAAGGCTGTTACACAGACAGCTATGGGCAGCAGGTTTGAAGATGACCAGGAAGTCATCCGATTTCGTAGGAACCATGATGTGGTAAGTCTGCAGAAAGAAGGGCAGGAATGTTTTCTTCAGTTCTATTTTCTACCACAAAGAGACAAATCACATAGCTGTACAAAGGCATTGATTCAGAGATATAGCTTTGCTAATCTCCTTCAGTTATTGAGAAGTTGATAACACTGCTTAGCTGACCTTGTCTGATCTTGAAAAATCTAAGCCGAATTGGACCTTGGAGGGAAACTACAAGGAAATTCCCAGGCTATAGACTAGGCTGAGAAATTTTTAAAAATGGAAAATCTACATTGTTGCCAAGAAAACCAACATGAAATGTACATGTGGTCACCAGAGGCTAAATTCACCTTAAGGGAAATGTAGATTTCAGTTCCTAAAATAGGCTTCGATAGCCTGACTTGTGGGCCGTGCTGCATACCTTGCTGGAATATCTGAATTAAGAACTTTTAAATAAGCATCCTTAATCCACTGAGTTGAGAGGTGTTTTCTTAAAGTCTGAACACACTGAGCAAACCAAGTGCAGATTTAAGTGTGAGTGAAAACAAAAACAAGTCTTCATCTAAAATGGTAGACAATATGCAATTTCTCTGCCTTCTTTCTGAATTAGCCTGCTCTGTATCAATGTTATCTTCTGTTTTATCTCAGACTTTAAATGTAATATTTACAGTAGTTACAATTAATATATTTAATTGTCCAATAGTATTGTGAAACTCATCTAAACTCTTTCTAAAAATTGGAATAAGTTCTGTACTATTTCATGTGTGAGGAAGTCCCTCTGTTTTTGTAATTAGCAGAGTAGACAGCCTATGTACCCATTATAACGCATTATAAGTACAGGTAGTCCTTGACATGATCACAATTGAACCCAAAATTTCTGTTGTTAAGTGAGACAGTTATTAATCACTTCCCTTTTAGCACCAGCCTTACCTTAGTACAGAAACCATATTTAATATTCTGGTAAGACTGAAATAAATACTTAATAATAAACTAAGAAAGATTATTATCATTTATTTCTATTTCAGATCTGGGCAGAAATTGGAAAGGGTTTCTTAGATGGTTCACTTGATAAAAGCACGACCAGAAAAAAGCAGTATGAAGATGGTGAGTTCTGTTTCCTACCTAGTTGACACATATTCCTGGCAAGGTGATCTAATTGAACATTTCTGCATAGCAACATGTTTTATTGAATGTATCAGAAATGCTACTGTTTTATCTAGCATGTATACAGACACACACACTATGAACATTATTTGTTCATCTATTTTCCAAATGCAGGATAGAGTAATAAATCAATCCCATCTATCCTTCCTTCAACACTCTGCAATACCCGTTTTTAGTATAAGTTTTCTGTAATTTCTGAAGGCTGATAGGTAACATTTCATTTCTCCATTCATACTTGCATGTGTATACAGACTTATATCTGTGGAACCAATGGATAGGGCTATGATGAAAATAAATGTATTCCAAATCATTTTTCATCCGCGAGGGAAGCAGTCTTCAGAAGCCAAAGACCGGCTGCCTGACATGACATGATATGTTTCTAGGGCATCCCACTGTGCTAGCTAGGAAATGACCTCATTATTCTTTGTGCTTAAAGCCCTGATGGAAATGGAGCAGGTCTTGAAGAAAGTCATAAAAGAACGACAAGGAAAGAACTTCAGCCGACACATCTTCATAGATTCTTTACTGCAGGGGAATCTGAGTGACAAGCAGGTATCTGCATCTTTGGTGTAATTAACTATTAATGGAGTTCTCTCAAGATCAGCTGCTAATTATGTATTGGTAGTGTTTGATTAATATAATAGCCTCCATTGTATCTCATTTGAATAGGGTTTTTTTCCTTGTGTATGGCTATTTTGGACCTTTAGGCTTGAAGCTTTTAAAAAAAAATAAAGTAATACGTTATGGTATGCACTTAACTACTAAGGTGACATGGATAGTTATTGTTAAAATGGGAGAAGCTGTTCTAATGTATCATTTTAGCTAATTCCAAAATGGCAGGAAATTCATTGTACCAGATCTAGGATTAGAGTGAATTTTTATTTTTGACAGGACAAGGCTGTGAACTAGGGAAATAACAATAGGGTGCAATGTTTATATATATAATATTATATTCTCATTCTCTCTCTGTCTCTCCGCCCTCCCTCCCTTCCTTCCCTCTCTCCGTGTGTGTGTGTGTGTGTGTGTGTGTGTGTGTGTGTGTCAATTGCATGAGTGGTCTACCAGCATACCAAATATCTGTTGCTTTTATATATGCTGCATTGCCTTGATGAAAACTACAGAGGTCCATATCTCTGTGGTGGTGAAGAGTGGAGCTATTGCCATTCACACACATACAGAAGGAAAGGCTGGATCAAATCATCTTTCTGAGAAATCCTGAATGTTGACACAGGAAGGAAGGTCTGCCTTCCTGCTTTAGTATGGCTGCTTAGCTGCCGCCACTTGTTTTCTAGGGAGATGGCATCTTTCCTCAACCTCAGTGTATCAGATAGATAATTCATTTATTTATTAACAAACATTCCACTATATTACGATAAATATTTTATCCATCATTTTAATCATATTTTCTAAAATTACTTCTATTTGTAATATAACAATCCCATCTTATGTACCTTTGCAGAATCCCTTTTACAATTAAGTTTTCACCCATTATCTCTAAACAGGCTTATACTTTCAATTCTTATACCTTTTCCCTGTTTCTCTATATCTTTGTTTCTGTCCTTTATAACTTCTTTTCCTTTCCTTCTTCCCCCTCTTCTTCTCCCTCCCCTTTTTACCCCTTATCTCTCTACTTCTAATTCTCTCTTCTGTAATCCCCTCTTCTGTTGCTTTCTAATATTATACTTATTTTTCAAACTATTCTTCTTTTTTTGGTTGTTTTTTCAAATCTTAAACTTTTCATTCTCTTCCCCCCTTTCCTTTCCCCCCCCACATAAAATTACTTGATCATTAAAGATGGCTTCTTCTTTGTCCCCATCTTCTTGTTCTGCAAGCGTTTCTTGTTGTTTCTCATAGTTCCAGATCTCCATTTCTAAGAATTGAAATACGAAGCCAAAAGAACCTCTCCCTTCTTGTGCATCTTCTTTGTACTTTTTAAGTTCCATTTTCAGATCTTCTAAAAGAGATAGAAAATGCCATTTTAAACACTTTTAAACAACCACCTGATTGATTTTAGTCATTTAAATGCAATAAACAAAAATCCAAAGATCACCAAGTAATCCAAATAATCCAAAGCTGTTTCTTCTTGCTTCTTTTTTCCACTTTCTCTTCCTGGGGTTCTATTATTTTGTTGCCAAGTTTCACTTAAAATGTATCTTTTAGGAATCTTGTTGAAGTTTCACTGTAAATTCCTTTTAGTTCCAGGCAGTCTCCTCCATTTTCCAGATCCTGCCCATTTATTCTTTTTCTGTCCTTTCCTGCTTTGAAAAGCTTTTAAGTATCCAGAAATCTTTATTATCCCTTTGACATTTTATTTTCAGCTTAAATGCCTATTGATGTCAAAGTGGATTTTTTTTCAAGTCCTTGCTTAAGTCTCTTAGCTGTCAGTATAGGGAAGGGAAGAAAAAAAACCAAATCCTTTCCCTTCCCTCTCTCCTTCACTGCTTCAAAATCTTCTTTGGGAGCAATGTTATTTTTTTATAGTTTAAATTCCAGGGTACCTTATGTTGTTGCTTTTGTAGTTTAACCCAGTCAACTAAAACTTTCTCTTATCTTCCTCCTGCACATTCTTTTCCGGTCGAGTTCTTCTCTGAGGTGGCCATTTCTGACCACTGCTGCAACCGCCTTCAGAAAAAGGAGTAAAGCCAGCTGAGGAGGAGAGATGTGGCTCTCCTCAACCCTGCTGGCAGTCTCCCCCCTCTTCACCACCTCTACAGGGTGGCTTAGCCCTGAAACCAGCTGGCTCAGGGCGTTCTGGCAGTGAGCACAGATCGAAACCATGCACAATCGCAGTTTCGGTCTGTCGGCGAAGAAATTCAAACCGAAAGTCCGAATCTTTTTTTAAATTTTTTTTTTAATTTTTATTGGTTTTTAAGACGAACATAGACAAACAAAACATAAAAACATCAAGCCATCTTCCATATATATACATACAGTGTGCTGGTTGGTTTACAAATTGTTTTGTGCTTCCATTTCATAGTCTTCAATTACAATTACATTGTATATATTCTCATATTTTCGATCAAGTATTAAATACATTAATATCATTGTTAATCAGTCATTTGACTATACTTTTATTCATTCATGTTTCACGAAATAATCATGTTTTACTTAATATGTTTTATAACAGTTCATATTATCATCTCAAATCTATCCTACAATGATTTTGTAAATATAATAAGAAAAGAATACATCTTTATATTTTTATTATTTTCTAAGAATCTACATATTTCATTACCATGTTTTATTGTCTAACCATTGATAGAATAGATCCCAAATTTTATAAAATTGTTTATCCTCTTGTTCTCTGATTTCAAATGTCAATCTACTCATTTCAGCACATTCCAATATGAATCTTATTTTATTTTTATAGCTATTTCCTGACTGGCGTATGGAGGCATGTGACAAAAGAAATCAGCACCCCTCCTTTGGGTGATCATTCATATGATACACTATAACAGAATTAACTTTATTTTTTAAAAAACAAGGCTAGAAAATCATTTTAATTGGTAACATGTAAAGAAAAAGTGTAAAAATAGAGAGCTCTGAAAGCCACTCACAGCATCTCAAGCAAATCTCCAAAGTCAAAACTACATGCAAAAAGTGAAATTGGTCTATTAATTAGGAAATATAATCAATGAACATTTGAAAAAGGAAAATATAAATAAGAAAGGGTTATATCAGGCACCATAAAGCACCATGCATTCCAAAATAAAAGTAATTTTATGCAACATTTCCAGTTACTTAAGTTGCCGTTATTTCAGAGGCAAACTGAAGAGTACAACAAACTTTCCTATTTCTCCCTTAGTTCTTCCAAATTCTATTAGATTCTCCCCTTTAATCAAATGCTCATGAGCTTTATCTCCTTTTGTGTAGCCCTGGTACCTTGATTCTCGCTAGAAATTTTTAAAGGATAAAATATATTTTTTTCTACAGAAAAGGAAGGGGCAGGAAAACTTTTGTTAAGCATACTTATGCTGGTCTATACATGTAATAAAGATTTGATTGATTGGTCCTTTTGCTATGTGCGGTGTTTCTCAGGAGAATTTTGCTTGACACAGAGAAGATGTTTGATTTGAACAATCTTCATTATGTGCAGCTGGAGTTCTCTGAAAGCCAGTTGACTTCATAACAGGAAGCTTCTAAATGTACATGGTACTGACAGACTTTTCCATGTATATTTTTTGTTGGCAGAGGGAAGATACATTGTTAACAATTAATAATTTTCTTTCTTTTTGAAACTATTTCTTCTGGAGCAACAATTAATTTGGAATTCATTGCAGACATATCTGCTTTGACATATATAAAATGTTTTATTAAATTTTCAATATTAGGTTTGGTGCTCACTCTCATTGCCTTTTTTCCCTCCTTCATGAAATTCTTTTCATTTTCTAGATTTTGGAGGACACTATGATATTCTCTCTGGCAGGATCCATAATCACTGCAAAATGTAAGTATATAAAATAGCTTAGTGCAAATCATTGGGGGAGGAGGGAGTCCTAATGTTGTCACAGTGCTTGTTGTTACATAATACTATAGATAATTTGATTTAGTTTGTAAGCTGAGAGGCTCCAGGCCTTTATAATATTCAAGGTGTTTTCTTTCTTGGACATGAAAAGTTAAAATAGGGCAGGTGGAGGGAACTTGGGCTTATGCCTGAAATAGCAAAATAAATGATAAATATCTTGAAATTTTTTATTTCAATTTCTCATCATGTAAAGTAAATAAAATGGTAACTTTTAAAATGGTAAATCTTGACAAATTGGGATTGGGAGAAGCAAAATCTCAGTATCCCAGGATAAATAAAAATTTCATGATATAGGGAGAAAAGGTCTTTATCTCCTTTTGCTTGGCCATGAGGTGTGCTTGTCTGAATTCTTTAGGTTATGTTAGAGGCAGATCTCAAAATAGCATTACATGATTTTCCTCATATTTTAAGGCAATTGCCTTCCCAGGTGATTATGATGTATTTTGAAATAACTCTATAACCTTTCTTTTGAAGAGACTGATACTTGAAGATAAAATGAAAATAATATACAGAAATTCCATGTAGCAGCCATGTCAGTATCCAAGATACCTTGGCAGATGCTCCCTAATACTAGACAATGTCCAGTCATTAATGAGGGAGAATATTTGTAGCTCAGACTTGAAATGGGGTCTTAGGTGCTCTTTAAGCTTGGGTTTTTTTTTGCAGATATTTCATTACCAAAACTAGGTAACACTAGTGCTAGTAGAACTATTTCAGAGCACAGGTGCCATTATATAGTCTCCCATTATGCTGACTTTCTAAAAAAGCTTATCAGGATCTGATGAACAAAGTGTCAGGTTCCAAGTAATGCAGTCATCACAAAATGAGCTCAGAGGCATTCTAATTCCTCAAAGAACTATTTTATTCTAATTACACATCTTGGCATGAACTGGTGGAAACCAGTACTGAAGATTTACCAGGCTTCCATGTCACTGTAATTAGAAGGTTCTCACTTTTCCAAAACAATAAGTCACATTGTCCAACCAGGATATAAAATAGTTTCCTAGCAACTTTCTCTGACTCAGCAGCAGTTGGAATGCAGCTGACTCATCGCCCAGCTATATTGTTCTGGCTGGAGCTTCATCTCTACCTCAGTTCTCCCCCCTCCATTTCTCCACCACCAAACTAAATTCTGGCTTGACAGGCTGCCCCCTCCCCCAACTGGAGGAACGTTCCTATAAGACATAAAGCATAAAGACTATCACTCATGCCACTAACCTCCCCTTTCCCCACCGGGAGATCCCTTCGGCTTCTGAGGGTACTTGTCATGGAATTTTTTTATCAACCTATATTTACCTTCCGGCTTTTAACCCAGGTTGCTTCAGATAGGGGGTATCCCTTCTAATGTATCACATATTCTAACTGGCCTTTCTGGACCTTCGAGTCCAGGATCCTTTTTATTTCATAGTGCGTTTGACTCTCAATCATCAACAGTTTGGGGGGAGTTTGATCCACTAGTCCAACTTGTGAACTTACCACCGGTTTCAACAGACTACTGTGGAATACCAGATGTATTTTCCCTAGTAACCAGGGAAGCTGAAGTTGTACTGTAACTGGCGTAATCACTTTAATTATAAGGAATGGCCTCATATATTTAGGACCAAGCTTTTTTGATGCCAATTTTAATTTCAGGTACTTTGTGGACAAGTACACCTTGTCCCCCACCCTAAATTCTGGTTGAGAAGCGCGGTGTTTGTCAGCCTGCTGTTAGCATTCCAGGGAACTTCCATTCCAATCAGTAACTCCAAGACAAGCATAATCTCAAAAGTATCTTTATTAGAATAGCACTTGGCACATCTGTGGAATTTCAAAACTAAAAGTTTCCTGGACTTCCCACAATGTCACAAACTACAAACCATCCCCTTTTCTCTCATCATCACATCACATGAACCAATCCCAAAGTAAGTTCCTTTTTGTTTCTGCGCCACAGTCTATGACCCAAAAGAATCCTATTTTGTCTACTTAGAGCTACTCAACAAAATCACCCCCCTTCCACTTTCTCAAGCTATGTGGCAGCAATGAATAAGGATCCCAAAGCTGACACCTGCTTTTTATAGGCCTCTGCTGCTTCACTCAGGGCCTGCTTGGTATTTCCACATGCTTTTTTCAATGACTCCATCCACTCTGTTAGCGACATGGAGGAGGGTGGCTCCCTAGGGAGCTCAGGCATGGGAACAAACTCTATGCCACTGGTCACCTGGAAAGGGGACAGACTGACAGTACTGTGCACTGCATTGTTATATACTACCTCAGCAAACGGCAACAACTCTGCCCAGTCTGATTGTTGATAATTTACATAACACCTTAAGTATTGCTCTACGATGGCATTAGCTCTCTCTGCGGCACCATTAGTACTCGGATGAAATGCTGAGCTAAGCCCCTGCAAGGACCCAATAGTCCTCATGAATTCCCTCCAGAATCTAGCGGTAAATTGATTCCCCCGATCAGAGATTACTCTACAGGGTAATGCAACCTATAGATATGCTTGATAAATAGGTTAGCCAGTTTCCGTGCAGACAGGAGTCCTGGGCAGGCCGCAAAGGGCCTGTTTGGAGAACAAGCCCACTATGGTCCAAAGGACAGTGTTTCCACCCCTCTGAGGGAGCTCAACAATAAAGTCCATAGCTATTTCTTCCCAGGGTCGCGATGGATTTGCCACTTGATAGAGCAAACCAGGAGGCTTTCCTGGCCTCGTTTTCATCATTGCACAAGTAGCACAGCTTTTTACATAGTCCTCCACATCTTTTTTCATTTTTGGCCACCAAAATTGTCTTCAAGTCAGGTGCAGGGTTTTTACGTAGCCAAAATGCCCCACTTGCTTAGAATCGTGGCTTTGCTTAAGAACCTGGAATCACAAACTGCTAGGCATATATAATTTTGATCCCTTCCAGCCCAGACCATCCTTCAGGGTTAGTATCCCCGGATTGTCCTTGTAACAACTGGACAGTTAGCAGCTTATCTTTTAGCCTTTGGGTTATCCCCCCACATCCAAGGTCCTTCTACGGGCTGCCTGGCCTCGGGTTAACACGATGCTGGCTGGGAAGGGGAAATTATTGGATGGATCACTTCTTCCCTCGTGCTGTGGTATTGCAGTTTGCGTGATAGGGCATCAGCTAAAATGTTTTTTCCCTCTGGGATATACTTTAGTTCAAAGTTGAATCATTTAAAATACTGCACCTAACGGACCTGCTTTGGAGAGTGTTTATGTGGAGTCTTCAGTGCCTCAAAGTTTTTGTGATCAGTCCATATTTCAAAAGGCACTGCATTGCCCTCCAGGAAGTGTCTCCAGGTCAGTAGGGCCCATCGGACTGCATATGCTTCCTTTTCCCATACGGCCCATCTCCACTCAGTCTCCATCAGTTTTTTGGAAGTGTATGCGCAAGGATGCAAGTTACCCTCTGCGTTCTTCTGGAAAAGGACTGCTGTGACAGCCACATCACTGGCATCAGCTTGGATCACAAAGGGCTGCTCCAAGTCTGGATGCTTGAGGATAGACTTAGAAAATAGTCTTTTCAACTGTTCAAAAGCCTTCTGGCATTCTAAAGTCCAACTTAAGGGTTGAGTTGGCTGTTGCAGGCCTTTCCCCATTTTCAATAGCTTGGCTTGGCAATCTCGGCAAAATTTGGGATGAACTGTCAAACTGTCTGCAAATGCCAACGGGTGCATGGAGCTTGCCAGTCCAGAACTGCCTTTACTTTCTCTGGATCCATCTCTATCCCCTCACTAGACACTTGGTAGCCCAGGTAGTCTAGTCTTTTTGAAACTTGCATTTTGACAGTTTCGCATACAGCTTGGCTGCTAGGAGTTTCTTTAACACTTGGCGCACTAACTTCACATGTTCTTCCAAGGTCTTGGAGAAAATAAGAATGTCATTCAGGTAAAAGAGGACCTCTTCGTATAGGTGCTCATGCAGCACCTCATTTATGAGTTGCATGAAGACAGCAGGAGCCCTTGCAACCCAAAAGGCATTACTCTGAACTGGAAGCTACCGAGGCTGTTTTCCACTTGTCACCTTTAATTCGCACTCTGTAGTATGCCTCTCATAAGCCCAGTTTAGTGAACACCTTCCCCTTGGCCAGGTGGGCCAACGTGTCCTTCATGAGCAGGAGGGGGCACACATACGGTGTTGATCCCCCTAAAATCCATGTATAGCCTCATCGACCTGTCCTTCTCTTTGAAGAGGACTGGGATGGCTACTTTGGATTTTGCAAGTTGGATGAATCTGTGAGCCAGGTTCTCATTGATGTACTTTCTAAACTCTTTCATCCTTAGGGGTCATGGAGTGCATCTTTGGTTTGGGTAAGTTAGCTCCTGGCACAAATTTGATGGCGCAGTCAGTGGGGTGATGGGGTGGCAACACACTGGCTTTGTCCTCACTGAACACCTCTGCTAAGTCCCAATACTCCCTAGGGATTTGTGGGTCACCTGGGACCGGTTGCGATGCCATCGTGGTGCTCTCGTTCTGGGCTTTGTTGGACTGGGGTTGGGTAGGACCCCCCCAATGTTCGGATGAGGGGGTTAGGCCCCACTGCTATCTTGAGCATGTGGTAACCACCCTGCCATGTGATAGGCAGGGTCCACTTGTCCAACTATGCCAACCCCAGGATGACCAGCACTTTCATCTTTGGTGCAATGATGAAGTGGAGCTTGTCTCTGTGCTGACCCATCTCCATCTTCACGGCTTCTGTAAGAAGTGATATTGGGAGGTCCCCAATTAGTGACCCATCCAAAACTTACGGGTTAAGTCATCTTTGTTCAGATGCCCAGTTTTAGGACAGTGGCCAGGCTGATCAGGCAGCAGGTACAACCCGTGTCAATAATTGCTTTTACTTCCCCCTGACCCCCAGTATTGGCACAGTGAAAGGGGAATGGACTCACTATAGGACCATCATCATCACTGTCGTAGGTCAGTAAGGTTTTGTCTTCCTCAGGAGGGAGGAGGCAGGTACTTCTACAGCTTGCAGGGCAAATCCTCCCCTTTTTCATCTCCCAGGCAGGGTCTCTTTTCCCCTCGTCGGACCACAAGTACCCGTTCTGGTGTGGGGCCATTGACAGTAGGCCCCAGCCGTCTCGTGGCATCCTTGGTTTGAGGGGAGAGGAATTCTTACAATTCTTCAGACTTATCTTTTGACTGTGGGTAGGTTCCTCGCAGTTCCGCCAGCTCTTCAGCTGACTGACAAGGAATCTCCCCCAAGGCTTCCCTGTCGGGTGCAGTGAGATACTTCCACCCTAATGGCTGCATCTTAGGCAGGGGCCCTAGTCACTTCTGCACTGAGCATGTAGATATTGGGACAGTCCTCTTACCCTCAGGACCCAACTCACCCAGGGACTGGTTGCTGAGGGCTCCAGAAACTCCCTCAGGTCCGACCAGGGCTCTGCGTCACTTCAGAAGCTGGGCTTGGCTCCGCGGTCAGGCGGTCAGCTATTCTGTGGGAAAGTCTTCCAATTGGGCTAGAACTCTGCCCTCGCCATCAGGCACCGTCTCTTCCTCCCTGGGCCTCGCCTTGGTCATCATTGGCTGCCCCGGATGTTGGTAATTGGCTCCGGGACCATCCACTAGCTGGGTGGGTGGTTCTTCTGGCCAATGGGGAATCCATCAGCCTGCTTGGGCCCACGGGGATGGCTTCGATCAGCTGCAAAATGTCCAGCACCGGTTAAGAGTATAATTGCTCTGGTGGCTACAGCGAGCAGGGGACAAGGATCCAGGGGCATATCCCCAGCCAGCCCCGGGTCATAGCTCCCACCAATCTGTCCTAGCCCTGATGACCAGGGCTGTTGATGGTCAGGAAAGCAGCTACCTCCCCCTACCATGTTGGGTTTGGCTTTGGGCTTTGACTGTCATGCTCCATCCTGCCAAGGTAGTTCAGGAAACGCCTCATGTAGCTATCATAGGCTGTGGGAAGGGTGGATTTGGGTAATCCAGGCTCACCCAGAGTGCTGCTTCCTTGGTGAGTGACATTCCTTGGTTCCTCCTGCCTCAGGCCCACCAAGGTTCCCGCCAATTCCCGGGACAATTCAGCCAGCTAGCTATCTTCCTCATCTCAGCTGGGGATTCTTTCGACTAGCCTCAGACCATTGAGTTCCGGTAACCCGTCTCTCGGTCGGTCGGTCTCCACCGCCACTCCGATCTGCCATCGAGTGCCAACAGGACCCCGATGCTCGCTCAGGGGTCCACTGTCGTCCCCGCTGATTCTACTTCCTCCCCTCCATTAATTAATCTTCCCTGAGTCTTCTGTCCCCCTGGAGTATCCAGGGAGCAGCTGGGGCTCAGGACCCCAGAATGTAGCCCCATTGGAGCAATGGTTTTAGAGTACTGGCTTAGTGTCAGATTCCAAGTAATGCAATCACCACAAAACAAACTCAGAGGCATTCTAATAACTATTTTATTCTAATTACACATCTTGGCATGAACTGGTGGAAGCCAGTACTGAAGATTTACCAGGCTTCCACATCACTATAATTAGAAGGTTCTCATTTTTCCAAAACAATAACTCACATTGTCCAACCAGGATATAAAATAATTTCCTGGCAACTTTCTCTGGCCAAGCAGCAGTTTGAAATGCAGCTGACTTCGCCCAGCTGTGTTGTTTTGGCTGGAGCTTCATCCGCCTCAGTTCTCCCCCGCTCCATTTCTCAAATATGTCAAATTGAATTCTTACGATTCCACCACCAAACTAAATTCAGAATTGACACAAAGCTGACACTTTCCAGTGAAACTTTTGCTTTTATTTAAGAAATATTAAGTGAAATAGAGCCTATCAAGTGGTGCCAAATGTGGTGTTGCCAGCACATGGAACATTTTGGTGGGAGTGAGCAGTTTGTGAGCCGTTTGTGATATAAAAGAGTTTGGAATGACTGAATGATGTGGGAGATAAAAGGATGGAGGATGGATGAATTTGCATGCTTGGATATATCTGAAATTATGAATTATAGGTCTTAACTCTAAACTCACTGACTAGTTTTAGTCAAGCCATTGTCTTTCAAGCCTCTTTATGTGGGGATATTTTAGAGAGCAAAGATAATGATGACTAAAATAATAACTATGGTACAAATTGTACACTTCACAAAAGGTTCTCTGATTGTTAAACTGTAGATTACGTCAAAAGTCTACTCAGCCTTTAAATAGTTTAATCACCTATGTTTGTTCATTTTCTCACAGGCCACCTAATACTTCTTTCTACATACTGCTTCATCTGGCCTGAGTTTTCTATTGAGTTACACAGTGGGGGTTGCTTTTTCCTAATTTCAGTACATGAACTGTGAATTGTATACATGTGTTGACCACCTAAAGACTTTTATTCTCTGATGCTTCTCTTTTTTCCCCTTTCTTTAGTGTGTACGTGGGTGGTCTATTTGTTAACTACCTCAAAAGAAGTTCAGCAAAAGCTTTACAAGGAGTTGGATTAGGTTCTTGGAAAGAGCCCTGTTACACATGTGAAAATTGAACAACTTAGGTGTGGGTCTTTTTTTATACTCATTTTTTTAGTGTCAGCAAATATCATGCTCCTGATCTCTTAACAAGATGTGAGAAGAGGATCCTTCTTGCTTATCAATTTATCACTTTTCAAAATCAATTTGAACCCTAGTATTGTAGTATATTGCTAATATGCTTAATTTAAGACAGAGTTTGCCATGTGAGCTAGCTGACCCATTCCAGTACATGGGTAATCCTCAATTTATGACCACAATTGAGCTCAAAATTTCTGTTATTAAGTGAGATATTTATTAAGATAGTTTTGCTCCATTTTATGACCTTTCTTGCCACAATTAAGTGAATCACTGCAGTTGATAAATTACTAGCCTGGCTGTTAAGTGAATTTGGCTTCTCCATTGACTTTGCTTGTCAGAAAGTTGCAAAAGGTGATCATATGACCTTGGGATACAGCAATAGTCATAAGTATGAACCAGTTGCTAAGCATATGAATTTTGATCGTATGATCATGGGGATGATGCAAAGGTTTTAACTATGAAAAGCTTGTCATAAGTCACTTTTTTCAGTGCCATTGTAACTTTGAACAGTCACTAAATGAATTGTTGTAAATCGAGGACTACCTGTATCTTATATCCTGTATCTAGTGAATGGGGCAATACTTAATGGGGTATTTGAGAGCAACAATAGGCAGAGCAGTGATGCAAAATGGGTGACACTAAGCCACATTTGTGAAAGACTGGAATTTTCTGAGCTATTTCCCCCCTTCCCCTAATTATGTAGTTAAAAGTATTTGAAAGGGGTGCTGAGATCTAAGTGATCCATGAATGGCACTGTACTTTGATTTAGAACAGAGATGGAAGAGAATTTGCTAGGGATGGGGAAGAAGTGCTTCAACCAACAAGTAACCATTTGAGCTTCAAGAAACAGAATAAAATTGGGAATATTAAATGGATAACTCCAGCCAAGTGGCATGTAATTCATCCAAGAACTGATTATTATAACACAAATTGTGCCATGACTGGATTAATGTTCATTAATCTGATTCTTGTTTGAATGCGGTCTCTGGAAGTTATAGGAATGTGTGTGTTTTAGGATTCTTTTTTTTTTCTTTTTTAATCAAATGAAAACCTTGGAAATGTTGTGCTTGCAGGTATTGCCGGCAGGTTTTGAATGAAACAGTGAGGACAGCAAAACTAACCCCAATTGCTGCCCGACTTCAGGAGCTGGAAGGCAGAGTTGATCAGCATCTGATTCCCAAGGAGGTAGGATTGGAAGCTGGTGCTCTGATCTTCAATTTCAGTGAAATTACCATTTTAATTGGGAGGCTTCCAAGAAAGAGAAAATATACAAAGACAGAATGTTACTTTGTTTTTAAAGAGAGGCACATTAGTGGCCATGTAAACCAGAACTCTGAATTCTTTTTTTCAGTGCGCTGATTCAAAAAACATTGATAAGACTGCCCATCTCAAGCAATGTGACTCTAGATCAGGGGTCTCCAACCTTAGCAACTTTAAGACTTGTGGACCTGGACCTCAACTTTCAGAATTCCTCAGCCAGCTTGCTGGCTGAGGAATTCTGGGAGTTGAGGTCCACAAGACTTAAAGTTGCTAAGGTTGGAGAGCCCTGATGTATAGCAAAAAAATCCAAACAAACAACAAACACTAAACACCCCAAATAACCATATAATATTAAAAAAACCTACCCAATATATAAAATGGCAACTAAACCCAATAATTAAACAACCAAAATGGGTCTATATTCAACTGAACTCAAATGTATTTTTGGTTTAATAAACCATTATATGATTGAGTGTTTTGTTAAGTCATTCAGGTGCTTTGTATGGTCTCTGTGTTTATAAACCTAATTTATCCAGGAAAGATTCAATTAAGCAAAGTTTTCCTTTTCCTCTAAATAGAATACCAATAACATTCTTAATTGAGAATAACTGGATCACGATCATGAGAACCAGTTCAATCTAGTGGCTAAGGCATCAGGCTTGAAAGCTGGACACTGTGAGTTTTAATCCTGCTTTAGCCATGAAATCCACCTGGGTGGCCTTGGACCAGTTACTCTCTCTCAGCCCAACCCACCTTACAGGGTTGTTATGGGCAAACAGGAAGAGGAAGACATGCTGGATATGTTCACTGCCTTGTATTATTTTCAAACATAATAAAGGCAGGATACAAATGAATAGATTTGGTTATACGTGAAGATGAAGGATTTATTCATAGCTGTTAAACTGACCAATTTAGTAAGAAAGCTATTAATAGTAAAATGTATAGTGCTCTGTGCTGAGTTACAGTAATGCAGTTGTATCATTAGAATGAGGGGAGATAGATGTTTTAGCTGTTCATAAAGTACTTGGGAGAGATGCTTGGGGAACAGAATAAATGCATGAAATCTTACTGAGGCTTGCTGTAATCACTTTCTTAATGTAAGAAAAGGAAAAATTGGTAGTGGTGACCAAGTCACTCTTGGGACCATAAAATGGTCCCTGAAAGAGCCACATTCATCCTGAAGTTTTTCATCCCAACAAATAAGAGGGAGGGAGATAGTACATGAATATTGCTGTTATATCTTTTGTTCCAAATTAGTAGGAGTTTTGATCAATAAAATATAAATAGTCCATCCTTGCTTGTGCCATTTCCAACAAAAATATAACCACTGTAATTGATCCGTTTATTGCCATATTTACTTGGACATCAGTTCCAGAATATCTTCACCATCCTTATAAATCAGATTATGACTTAATTTCTTTAGGTGAGATTATAAAGCATCAGACTTCAAGAAAAGTAGTGAAAGGAGCTGATTTCAAGCAAAGAGCTGGAAAAAAAACATTTGGTTTCTATCACTTCTGTCACTGTCTTTTTCCTCTTGTAAAATGCAACAATTGCTATAGATGATTACACACATACTCATTTGGAATTATGGTCCATCTTGTCTTGAAATGCTGTCATTGTGATACTGCTTTACGTAAAGCAAATTTCTCTTAGAGGGTCCGTGGTACTTGGCTGCTTTCACCTTTTTCTGTCCCTGATCTCTTCTTGTCTTCCAGATTGGATTAGTTTTGCATTAAGGATCTAAATCGAAGTTAAAACAAAGAAAATATATCTCTGTCATGTATTTATACAGCTATTTATGCACATAATAGACTACTAGTTTGTGCATGTAATGTGATAATGTTGTGCATGTCAGTGGGCTAATATGCTTTTTAAATTCTCTTACAGACTCTTGTCTTATATGCACTTGGTGTGGTCTTGCAGGACAACTCAGTTTGGCCATTGCCTTACAAGTATGGAACATAGAAAACTTAGATAATAATGTTTCTTAATGTAAATTCATTTTTCCCTGCTAAATTCTGTCTCTTGGTACTATATGAATAGTACCAAGAATAGAACTATATCATGACACATGGTTTCTGGGCTCCTCCATGTAAAATGTAGGTGTAGAATTTCATATTTGAAAACAGCAACAAAATGCATGTAAAGAAAACACCCAGCAGATAAAAAAGTAGAATTATCCAAATGCATTATTTTCTTAGCAAAAGATTTTAAGAGGTTCATGATTGTATGGTGCATTTGTCAATTTTAAAAAATATTGACATTGCAGTTTAAAGGATGGAGTGCACCAGTCAAAAGCTTTGCATCATTATTTCCAGATATGGCCACAGAACAATTTTGGCCTCAAAATTTGAATTCCAAATTTATTTATTCTATTCAAAATGTATTCTTCTGTTAAAAATTTGAATAGAATAAAACACTGTAATGCCTCCAAATGGCAATGTTTAATCTCATTCAGTCAAGTAGAGGCAGGACCGGGGAACTTAAATGAAGACATTGATTTTGAATCCAAGGGGATAATATGATAGAATTGATTGAAATAAAATTAACCAAACAGCTTAAAAAAAATAAATAAAAAATCTGGCTCTGGAAACTGAACCATTACTTTGGGGGGAAGCAGAAGAGCCACCTCCGAAAGGTTGCTGTCATTTCCAGTAACAGAATTCATTTATAACATCTTTCAATGGCAAATGTTAGTTCAAGGAAAACAAATAGTCCCAGCATCATTTTCTCTGGAATGAAAAGGTAGAGAGGCCGAGCCTCCTTGGAGAATGCTGAGTGTCAAATGTTCAAAAAATCAATTACTTTGCTTTTAATATGATGCTTGCAACTACTGGACTAAGTACCCTGGGTTTATCCTCTGCAAGGAATCTTGGATTTAGGCTTTGCAGCTAATGCTGGGTACTGCAGCATTTCTCACACTCTTTACAGGTGGGTGTAAAGTACAGAATTTCCTCTGACTTCAGGGAAGTTGTTTCTTGTCATGTATATCTCTCTGGGCATAACATTACTTCTTAATCACTGCTTGTACAAATGCATTCTTCATTCCACATCAAAGACATTTTGTTTGGGTTAGGAGATGAGTTCAGAAAGGTCTGATTTCCCCCCCCCCCCCAAAAAAAAAAAAAGCTATATGAGCATCAGCCAGGCATCATCATTTCTGGACCCTTACAATCTAACTCTTTTTAAACTCTACTAATTAAAACAAATTAAGGGATACATCAAACAAAACAGCTTTTCCAGACTTTGCTATTTCCCTGCAGAATATGGTTGGCCTTTTAACATGATGAGGTATAGCCAACAGACAGCTGAAGGGTTGAAGAATAGAAAATTTATTGCCCAATGAAATATCAAGTTAATGAAAAACACACATGTGATACACTACAGATTTTAATAAATATTGTGGTGGGGGTGGGGTGGAGTTGTGTGAAAGTAAATAACCAGGCATCCTTTTGATTGCTTTTGTCCATCCTTTAATTATGAAAACCCTACTGTTAGTTTTAGGTGAGGCTGGATAATTGCTTGTTTTCCCCTCCTTCCCAACTGTGACTGTGAAACATGCTTTTCTTTCTAATGAATCATCTGCTGCTGAGCACACATTTGCTTGCAGGCCAGCTGGATTTAAAAAATGGAGGTGGCCTGGTGCAAGCACCAGAGAAAGAAGGGAAGAAAGGAGAAAGAGATAGCAGCTCTGTCTCTCACCAAATTGTGCCAAATCAGAAAATGTACATTGGGTGGATGCAGGTGGCCTTGGGTATTCTCTGCTGAAGAGCTTCCTAATTACCAATTCACATTTCTTGTAGCTCATTTCAAGGAGTGGGTGGCTTTTGATCTTTTTCTTTTCTTTTTGATAGATTTGATCCAGACAGATTCAGTGATGAAGCTGCTATAAAAAACTTCTCTCTCCTGGGTTTTTCAGGAAGTCAGGAATGCCCTGAACTGAGGTGAGAGAAAAGTAATCATATTTTTTTAAAGGAGGGGGGGGGGATATACTCTAAATAGAGGGGAGGAAAATCAATAGTCCCTTCTTCTTGTAGCTCTCTGAGATCTGTAAGAAGCCTCTTGATGTTCTTAGAAGATAGAAGATAGAATAATAGGGTTGGAAGGAATATTAAAGAGCTTCTAGAAAAACATTGAGAAGTTGTTGTGGCAGGAGGAAAATCTCCCAAATGAGTCTAAAACACCCATCCCTCCTTCCTTAGCCTCTCATTCCACACTGTCTGAAGGGTGGCTAATCTATCAGAGATTTTTTGGGAAGGATTCAGATGCCTACTGTAGCAAGAAGTGAGTTCCTTCTATGGGTATCTTTCTGTTTCTTTAACTATGAGTTCCAGTTATTTGCCTGATCTTTTTTTCATGGCTAGGTTTGCCTGTACAGTTGCTATGGTTCTTCTGAGCGTGATTGTGAGGAAACTCCACCTGCAGCCTGTAGAAGGCCAAGTCATTGACACGAAGTATGAGCTGGTTACCTCACCCAAGGAAGAAGCATGGATAACCATATCCAGGAGGAACAAAGGAGAGGAGTGAAATTGTTGCGGGAAAAGAACACTTTTGCACAACTGACCACTTCCAATGCTTCCTTTGAAACATCAATCATCATTGAGCATTCTTGGCTCAAAGTATTTCCCTCCTTTCCTAAAAATTTCCTTGGACCCTATAAACAAATCTGTAGGATTAATGGGAAAACTGGACCTTGTGAGCAGATTAATTTGCCCCTCACTTCCCATCAAGGGTGGGATCTGACAGGGTTAACTACCAGTTTGGTGATTTATGAGGTTCGGTGATTTACGATGTGCTTCCTTGCATGCTGCCGGCACGCGCCTGTAAATCGTCATCAGCACGCTGCGTGCAGAGAAGCAGCCTTTGAAAAAGCCCTTTTTTTCTGCTTTTTTAACTGCAGCTGTGCTTTGCACAGCAGCTGAAGTTGAAAAATTCAGGAAATAAAGGTCAGGTAAGAACCCGGGTGGGCAAAAACATCAGCAGACATAGAACCGGTTCTATGTCTGCTGTTCTTCAGAGCTACCGATTCTACAGAGGTGGACAGAACCGGTAGAAACTCACCCCTGCTTCCCATTGACCAGAGCAGCAAGAAATCATATATTTTGACCTAGAAGTCCTCAGCCATAAAAACCAAGTGTAAGCAGTCACATTGTGGAAAGGCACTGTGCATTTGGATATAGGAGTTTTTAAAAATATATTTTTAAATGAAATACAACTCAAGTATGAGTTATAGCAGAGAGAAACTTAAAGATGAAACCTTGCTCTAAATTAAGATCCAATATGAGTAATGGGTTCATGCAATTCAATAAAAATGGTGGAAGCACACTTCCAATGAGAAACATTCTTGTGTCAATTGATTATTTCTCTTTCTATCAGGGCTTGGGTGGAAATGTTAGTCATAACCGCAACCCACTACAAATTATGGGAGCAGTTTATTAGCAATGTAACTTAATACATGTTCCATTGTTTTTAATGAGATGTAGTCACAGTTAATTTTGAGGCCAAGGTGATATTTGGCGTGGGGACTGGGGAGAAAATTGGTATTGGTCATTTTGGACTCTCTTAGCAGAGAATAATGCATCTCTTTTTTAAAAAACCTGGGCTTCCTTGTCTTGAGAGATGGGAAAGATGGCATGCTATATTTTTTGTTCTTTCCTTTGCTACATAATTGAAGAATTGCCAGTGCATTATGTTTTTTTAGTAACAGTTTTAATCTAAATGTAAAGCAGTCTTTATGTGTAATTAACCTATTTGTCAGTTGTTCCAAAGGGAGTTTCATATTCATGTATACCATTTTTTTATAGAGCAGTGCTGTCACTCTGCCTTTCCCATTGCTGAATTTAATAGTAATCTTACCTATTATTGAAATAGTAAACTATAATATAGAAAAATCAAAATCAGTAAATTGATCATACATGGCAATAGCCTGGAATAGCAACCTTGGGGTTTTGTTTTCTCTTAGAATGTGTGACTCAACTTATGTTTGGTAGTGAGTCATATTTGTTATTTTACAAAACCGTTCTTTAAATTTATAGGCATTTTTCCCAAATGGAGGGGGTGGGGCATATTTGACAGTCTACTTTGACAGACTGTATGCATAAAAAGTGAAGCGGTGTGTGGATGAATGCTTGGAACGATCTTCCTTTTTTGTATGGCTGTAAAATGAGAGACCTTAATCTTTGGGTATCTTCCAGCATAGCCATTCCCCAATATTCTGAAGTCCACATTTAAATAGATTGCTTTGCAGAATGATAAAAGTTATTAGTATCAGAACTGTATGAGCCATAGAACAGTTGGAAGAAACTGCTGCTATCAATTCATTAAAAAGCAACAGTTTTAGAACAGATGGAGTCTGTGCTTACAGGTGAAAGTTCAAGCCATGATTTGTCATAATTGTGATGATGATGGCTTACAGCTCATGAAAACCCCAAATCCACAATCTCAGAAAATTAGAATATTACATGCAATCAATAACACAAGGATTGTACATAGAACAATATCGGACCTCTGAAAAGTATAAGCATGCATAAGTACTCAGTACTTGGTTTGGGCCCCTTTTGCAGCAATTACTGCCTCAGTGCGGTGTGGCATGGAAGCTATCGGCCTGTGGCCCTGCTGAGGTAATATGGAAGACCAGGATGCTTCAATAGTGGCCTTCAGCTCTTCTGCATTGTTCGGTCTCATGTTTCTCATCTTTCTCTTGGCAATGCCCCATAGATTCTCTATGGAGTTCAGGTCAGGTGAGTTTACTGGCCAATCAAGCACAGTAATCCCATGGTCATTGAACCAGGTTTTGGTGCTTTTGGCAGTGTGGGCAGGTTCCAAGTCCTGCTGGAAAATGAAGTCAGCATCCCCATAAAGCTCGTCTGCAGAAGGAAGCATGAAGTGCTCCAAAATCTCCTGGTAGACGGCTGCATTGACCCTGGACTTAATGAAGCACAGTGGACCAACACCAGCAGATGACATGGCTCCCCAAATCAACACAGACTGTGGAGACTTCACACTGGACTTCAAGCATCTTGCCGTGTGTGCCTCTCCATTCTTCCTCCAGACTCTGGGTCCTTGGTTTCCAAGTGGGATGCAAAAGTTGCTCTCATCAGAAAAGTGGACTTTGGACCACTGGGCAACAGACCAGTTCTCTTTTTCTTTAGCCCAGGTAAGACGCTTCTGACATTGTTTGGTGTTCAGGAGCGGCTTGACAAAAGAGGAATATGACATTTGAAGCCCATGTCCAGGATTCATCTGTGTGTGGTGGCTCTTGATGCACTGACTCCAGCCTCAGACCACTCCTCGTGAAAGTCCCCAACACTTTTGAATGGCCTTTTCCTGACAATCCTCTCCAGGCTGCGGTCATCCCTGCTGCTTGTGCACCTTTTTCTTCCACACTTTTCCCTTCCACATAATTTTCTATTAATGTGCTTTGATATAGCACTTTGGGAACATCCAACTTCTTTTGCAATTACCTTTTGAGGCTTTCCCTCCTTATGGAGGGTGTCAATGATGGTTTTCTGCACAACTGTCAGGTCAGCAGTCTTTCCCATGATTGTGATTCCTACTGAACCAGACTGAGAGAGCATTTAAAGGCTCAGGAATCCTTTGCAGGTGTTATGGCTTAATTAGCTGATTAGAGTGGGACACACTGAGCCTAGAATATTGAACCTTTTCACAATATTCTAATTTTCTGAGATTGTGGATTTGGGGTTTTCATGAGCTGTAAGCCATAATCATCTCAATTATGACACATCACGGCTTGAACTATCTTGCTTTGCACGTAATGAGTCTATCTCATATATTAGTTTCACCTTTTAAGTTGCATTACTGAAATAATGAACTTTTGCACAATATTCTAATTTTTCGAGTTTCATCTGTAGCGTACATTTTATCAGCTTTGGCTATTGGACCATTTGTGTTTTTCCTAGATAATAATAACTTCAAACTTTCAGGTTTGATTTCCCTAATAAGCTCTTGTGTATCTCTTGGAGGCTTCAAGTAGTATAAAATTAATCTTTGGAATTAAGATTAATTCCAAAGAGATCATTTTATACCAATGTTGAAATCTTTATACTGGTTGCAATTTGTTTCCATTTAATATAAGATTTTACTACTCTGAAAGCCCTAAATAGCCTTTTTCCTAAGACCCCTGATAGAAGGCCACCTCTTAAGAGATTGGGAGTCTCTTCATATGAAAGCCATTGCTTTCTCTATGGTTGCCATACGTTGTGGAATTCATTTCTCAAGATCATACAGTGATTGTCATCCACACAGACCTTTGACAACCTTTAAAACTCTCTTTCAATTGGCCTACAAAGAAAATAAAAAAAATATATCTTATAAACGGGTTAGCAATGCAACACAGTATCCATGAATGCCAGGACATCTGTAATCCAGCAGTAATGCCTATGCCTCTCCCTGATTCATTTAAATTTGGTGTAGACAAAGTCTTGAAGGATCACCATATTACATTATACAAGACTTGGATAGTTTGGGTGGGTGGGTGAGGAGGGATTGCAAGTTACTCTATATCAATTCTAGTGGGTTTTTTTAAAAATAGTGCTCAGGAGAAGCTTTTGCTGGGATAAGTAAAAGATCCCAGTTAATTCCAGCAGAATATTGATTTATCCTATAAAAATAAAAGTTCCTTTAAATTGGGAGGATTTGGTGTGACTATGAATATGTTTTTGTGGTTTTCTTAGAAGGGATGAACCATTGTTTTCATTCAGAGTGAGGCATTTTCAATCTCCAAGTCTAACCTGATGTTTCCTGGGGATTTACTATCAAACTATTTACTTGGCTCAATCCTGCTTAGCTTCCAAGCCCTGACAAGGTCAATCAACCAGCCTATAGATACTCTTTTAAATACAGGAAGATCTCATCTGAGTATTTCAGGTTGAGTTAAGCACAGATATGCTAGGCATTTGTGCATTTTTTTTCTTAGTACAAATATCCCACTGACTCTGGAAACTGATAGCAATCTGTGAGACTCTGATAGTAACTAAAGGTGTAAATGCAGAGTTTCTCTCCAGTGCTGCAGCATTCAATCATGCCGGCACTGCATGGGGTATTTCTGAAATTTATGACTCATCATTTGTTTAGCAATATAAGCATTCATTTTTCAGTGCTGAATAATCCAGTTACAGTGCCAGTGTTCTTTATTTAAAACATGCACTAGCAGTGCTTTCTGATTTGAAAAAAACCATGTTTTAGCTGCTGCTAGAACAAAAAATTGTAATCAGCAACACAAATACACATTCTTTCTTCATTAGTATGATAGACCATATTCTATACAAGAGCCAATTTAAAATTAGCTGCATATCAAGCCAGATCAGCCTTGCTGTAAGGAAAAGATGGGGATTGCCAGTCCATGCATTGCATCTCCACTTTTAGGTTAAAATCATTATACGCTGCACTAGGGTGTGACAAGAAAAATGGAGTAGGGGCCATCACAAATAGAAATATGAAATAGTTTTTACTCATAAGGAGGGGGTGTGGGAAAAGGATAAAAGCTAAGTGTTGCCATGGCAATTTTTGCGTGAAGACACTTGTTTAAATCTATTTGATTCCAACCCTTCTTGTTTCTCTTTTGAAATGGTGTTCTTAAAATTTCCTTCATGTCACAGCTCTTCAGTGAATAATCCCTGCTTAAAATGAAGACGAAGGCTGTAATGTTATCTCCTCTGTTAACACTTACTGAAAATGAGAGCTTCAGAAGAAGCTGACATTCCTATTGCTTTTTTCTTTAAGGTTCACAGATGGCCTTGCTCTCAGGAAATCAGAGATGGGAGAGGGTTCTGATTTCATTTAACCCAACTTGTCCCACTGAAATTTTTTTCCCCACTGGTAAAAGATTCTTGACTGGGGGCATCCAGTCTCTACTTTAAAATTTTTGTATAAAAATAAGACAGTGTAACACTGTATTTTTATCTGTATATCCATTTAACAACACCGAGAATTCATACTCAAAACTTAACTTATAACTTAAATGTCTCAACTGCATACATGAAAAAGAAATACAATCGTTCAATTTAAAGATATATGAAATCTTAGAAATATAATATGAACTCCCCTCTTTCTCTTGGATTTAAGCCTGCTTCCTTATCATGATGCTCTATAGTAGAATTAAATACAATTAACTCATCATTATTTCATTTGCAGAGAACAAATTATTATTCATTGGGCATGCTCCAGTAACATATTTAACTAGTTCAAAGGTTACTATGCCATGGGAAAACTAAGTGGGTCAAACAGCCCAATCAACCATTGTCAGGAGTTTTGGTTTAATAGCAATATCACATAGACTTATCTACCGCTTCACAGTGTTTTCTAAGCAGTTTACAGAGTCAG